CATAACTAGAACAAATATCTATCTACAATCATATTAATCCTGTTTAACATTTGATAAAAAATTTTATACAGAACGTTACGTTTGAGATTGAGAAATTTTTCTTTTTATGCAATAATTATTAATTTTTCATATTGATACAATCAAAAAAACATTATTCTTTCATAAAATATTTTTGAATACGTTTAAAGAAAATTATACGAAATTCATTTTTTCTTTATTATTAGATTCGAACGATTATTATTACTTTCAAATATTTCTCAATAAAAGAAAAAAATTCGAAATTTAATTAGATACTATATTTGAGCAATTAAATTTTCAATCAATGAAATCATTTTAACTACCAGGAACTTGACTAAAGGAAAAACCAATTGAATTGATTAGTTTTTTTTAATAATTCTTAAATAGCTACGTCATCAACTATATCTTATTCATCTCTAAACCACGAGTTATGGAACTTTTTTTTCTCGAATCTGCTAAACATTTTTTTTTATAAATATCAGTCTATCGTATTGTAATAAATCTTTTTATTAAATTTTATCGAATGTTTCATGATAGAATCATATATTTGAGATTTATTTTAAAATCGGAACGAGAAGTCAAGGGAAATGATGGATTCAGAAAAATTATGAAAATTATCAAAATTCGATAAAATTATTGATAATATCGTGAAATTAAAAAAAAAATTCGAATATCGCTTTGACGAACGAAGTTAAATAACGATCTAAAAAGATGATCGATAATCTGAAGCAATTAAATAGACTACTGATCCATAAGATCAAATGGAAGATCAAGTTTTTTTTCTGTTAAAAAAAGTGATACGTTGATGAATTTAATTATCATGGATTTTTTTTACAATAAATTATCCTTCAATTTTGAAACAAAAATATAATTTCTAGATTTTGAATTATAGAATATTATAATTTTTTAATAAATACTTTTTGAAGTTATAAATTATTAATTATTATTTTAAAATAGCATAAATAACGAATCAACAATAAAGATATTATATATAATATTTTCTCACGTTATTTTATTCACATTTTCATTTTCATTATTTTGTCTTATTTATATGTTGATTTTTTTCATTCTTTTAGTCTCGTATATGATTTTTTAAAAAACAATTTTTATTTCCATATTTTTAATATTCTCATAAACACATTTTTTGTGTTAACTCTTTTAATCAAAGTTGTTCTTAATTAACGAAAGATTTACATACATAAAACTTTGAGATTTTCTTCATCCGATTATATACAACAACTTAGTTCCTGCACAATTTTGTTACATCATATTTGCATTTTAAATTACTATTAAAATTTGATCAAAATTTAATACCAAACATTCCAATATTTCAATAAATGTCTAATAAAAATGATATAAGATAAACTTAATCAAAATTTTTCAACAGTCATTATTACATCGTAGAATCCATCCATTGCAAATTAACATATTATCTGCTATTGAATAAAAATCTTAATTGCGAAAAATATTTTATTCATTTTATTCCTTCGTCAGATTCATTGAAAGCAAAATAAAAAGATAAGTTGAATTTAGAAATTTTGCTATTGTTATGGATAAAATTTTTTAATTAGAAAAAAAAAAAAAAAGAAATAAAAAGATACCTTCTTCATCCTGATAGATCGACCGGTAATGTCGTGGCGCGTCGCTTTGGAGGAAAACCGGATATCCGATCTGGTGGCTGGGAATGAGTTTCGACGACGTGAAACGCGCGGAGTATCTCCAACTTATAACACTGTGACATCTATAGCAACGATCGCGACAGGTACATCACCTTCCCGAGGATCAAACTACACTGAGTTGCGATCAGCTGCGCCACGTTTGACAGGAAAGTAATTGAAGTAGGGGATCGTGAGCTTAAATTTGATAGGAATGGGGGAAACGCGCGGTTCCCATCTTCCCCCCATGTATTCACCTGTATGTGAATCTCTTATCCCTTCTCTCCTATCTCTCTCTCTCTCTCTCTCTTTCTCTCTCTCCTTGCCGAAATTTTACCAGGAATCGTACTTGCTATCATCTCGCTTGCCTCGATTTATCATCGAATTCCTTATTTTTATATTTTATGTAAATTTTTCTTACATTTTTTTTTCTTCTTTCTTTTTTTTGAAAATTAATTAACGATTATATTCTATATTTCGACTGATACTTTTGCCATTTTCGTGATTGTTTTAGTTGTTTAGCGTTATATCTGAAAATTAATCGAGCATAATTTAATAAATTGTTAATAATTAAATCGAATTGGCGAATGATCGTGCATAATTTTTGGAAAATTTATTTATTAACGTTTAAGATTTATGCTTTAATACGGATTCGTATAAATTTTTCTTCTTCGTTAATTCGCTCGTTCTGCTGCATATATGCTTGTTATAGGAAATGCTTAAGAAAAAAACTAACAGGGACCTTGAATGTCTCTTGACGTCATTATAAACGAGCGAATCAAGAAATTGTTCTTAAAACGCTTTAGATTTTTTTTAATTATTGGAAAAATTAATTATTTAATAATTAAAATTGTAATAATATTAGAAAAGATAAAATTATCGAATGTTATTACACACACATATATACATATATATATATGAACATTGTAGTAAGATGAAAGAGAATGATCTCGATAAAACAGAATTATTTCAAACAGGAAATCCATAAACTGAATGTCCTTAACGAATCTTGCTCGATTGCAAATCTCTCGCATCAAGGATAAATATATAAATTACGTTAGCTTCTATAGTTGAATATAGAAATACTGGAAAAAAAAGGAAACAGAAACAAATGAATTTTATACCTGGAATTTTTTTACGAATTATTTGTCACGATGATTTAAAAATCCTGCACTTTCTCCTTTTTGATGTATTTTTTTTTTTTGTAAGTTTATTACGATAATAAACGTAATTGCTAAAAAGAAGAAAATTTAATTATAATGGTCAAAATAATAATGATCAATAGAAGAAATTTTTTTCAATTAATTTTTCTTTTCTTTTCAATTTAACTTTTTCCAATACTATGTTATCGCGAGTTCATTATAATATGTAAAATGCATGCTTATATATACTTTTTAAATTAACACAACTCAGGCATTTCGTTTTTGTTAATTTTTGACCTGAAGAAAGAAATTTTTTTCGATTAACTTATATACGTTTATAATTTGATTGATAATAAGATAATTTTATTAATAGAATATACAAAAATTTATAAAAAATAATGACAATCCTGTGTAACCTTCAACAATAGTTAAAGAATTAAAAATATTAAAGTGAAAGTGAATCACGAACCAGTTGTATCTGGCGGAAACTGGTTAATTTTAATTATGATTACCTGAAAAAGATTTTTTTTTTTTTTTAATATTCATGCATGATGAAATTTATTCATGAATTTAAGTTCATCGATCTCAATGAACGAAGAAATTATAGGAAAAATTGAATGAAAATTAGAATCAAAGAACAATTTGAAAAGAAATCAAATTTAATTTAATTTAAATTTATAAAGATCGATATTATTAATGTTATGATATTTGAAAAAATTCTTATTAAATTCTAATTAAAAAATTTTTTTAATTTTCTATTATTATTAGCATTTATAATAAGTATAATATTTTATTAACGTAATTATATAACGTAATAACGTAGAATCAATTTTATTGAGTTCCATTACCATGTTCTTTGTGCAGTCATGAATTGTACATTATTCTTTGCACAATTAACGCAGTAATAAATCAAACTAAAGAATGTTATCAGTTGTTACGATCGTAACATTTCTTTTAGTTTATCACAGGATGTCCATTACTAAATTCGTTATACTGTACTATTTTTTACAATATCAATTGAAAGGAAACCTAAATCATACATCATATTATAAATTACATGTTAAGAATACGAGAACTTGATTTTAAATCAACTTTGTTATTTTAAATTAATATATCATGAATACAAATGATAATTATAATATAATGATCAATGAACACTTATATTGTAATTATATAACGATGGTTTAAATATTTAATTACTAATTTAGACAAAGAAACAATAAAATTAATTATTAAATATCGACGAAGCATCTCTAGAGCGCACAAATATACAGAGCAAGTTAGACAAGGAAAGGAAATAGTTAAAAAAGGACAGAGATAGGTTAAAAATATTGAAATCAGCGCCATCTTCAGAGTGCCGCAAATGAAACTCACAAACAAAGGACAGAAAATAGAGTGAGAAAGATAGAGATATAAGAATTGACGATCAACGCCATCTATCGACTGATAGAGATACTTCTTCGATAGGATAAGGTAGAATAAGAATTGACGACCAACGCCATCTCTTGACTGATAGAGATACTTCTTCAATAGGATAACGTAGAATAGGAATTAACAATCAACGTCATCTCTCGACTGATAAAAATACTTCCTAGAAAAGGATAAGGTAGAATAAGAATTAACATTCAACGTCATCTCTCAACTGATAGAGATACTTCTTCGAAAAGGATAAGGTAGAATAAGAATTGACTATTAGCGCCATCTCTCGACTGATAGAGATACTTTCTCGAAAGGATAAAGTAGAATAAGAAATTACAGTGAACGCCATCTCCCGAAAATCTTTAAAAATAAAGATGTTTGTAAAATTCGTTAGATGACGCTGAATGTTAATTCTTATATCTCTGTCTTTGTCACACTATTTTCTGTCCTTTGTTTGTGAGTTTCATTTGCGGCACTCTGAAGATGGCGCTGATTTCAACATTTTTAACCTATCTCCGTCCTTTTCTTACTGTTTGCTTTCCTTGTCTGTTTCATAGAGAGAATTTATGCGCTCAAGAGACACAACTTCAATATCTGATTAACTTTATTATCTTTTTTTTATCTAACTTATCGATTAAAAATCTTAACAGAGAATATAATAATTTGAATTTTCTAAGAGAATATAAAATATTAAAATATTTTTTGTTCAATTAACATAATTTGGACAAAATTAATTTTATTTTTAATTAAATTCGAATTGTCAACATTTTATTGGTACTTGTGAATACCCTTTATTTCGATCGTGGAAAAGAACAATTACATTTATTCTCATGTCATGTACACGTGTATAAAGTAGATGTCTTTTATCAGAATACATGGGCAGCCGCTTATATTGAACAAGCAAAAGGCGAAGGAACTTTCAATCGGATATTTTTTTTTTTCTGCACTTTATTCAACGGGATCAATGTTCACTAATCGATGCAATTATTATACTAATATATATTTTTATAAAATAATCAAAGTAAATCGATGAAATCTCATTTTTTTTTTTTACGTTTAATTAAAAATTCTTTAATATTTCGTTCATCTCGCGTTTATATATTTCGCAATTCGTACGAAGTTCTTCCCCATTGTTTTTTTTTTCTCATCACAATAAATTAAAAATAATTTCGATCAACGAACATTGATTCACATAATTTTTGATACGAAGGAAAACAAACTCGAAACTCAAGCAACTACAAAGTGCGTAGATAAGAGTACAAATTATACAAATAGCTTATAGATTTGCCTTTTGTGTAGACGAATTTATTATAAAAACGATTAATATTTTCTCACGAATATCCTCGTGATTATAACTTCTAAATAAGACGACGACTCCTCGTCGTCGTAAAAATCTCGATTCTTACGAGAAAGTCGACGAAACTTCCTGTAATCGTACGCTATGAAAACGAGAATGGTGCAAGAAACCTGGATATATCCTGTTTCAAAAAAAAAATGTACGTTGGAAACATTTATACGTATATATATATATATATATATATATATGTGCTATTCATAAATACAAAGACAATTTATTCTTTCATACTTACAGCTTGCACCATTCTCAGATATTCTTAAAGATTGAGTAAAAGATTGGATTGTGAAATTATTTACATATAGGCGAAGTAAGTACTTTTTTTTTTTTTAAATCGATCACACAACGACGATACACACAATTCGTGTCTTTGAACTTTGTTTAAACGAGGATTATAATTATAATCCTAAATTAATGTGAAACGTTGTACGTTTATGATCGTTACATCTTTATCGACTAGCATATTGGACTTAATAATAAATAATCACTCTCGAAGTGGCACGATATATTTTGATATTAAACAGATTCTCGATTCGAAAATAATCTTCATTCCGGTCGTTTCGTCATTGCACAATCGGTACAAAACATAAAATTTTTCATGACTAGAATCATTTTAATAGAGACTTTGTCGAGATCTTTCATCTCTTTTGCACCCTTTCAATACCTTTTATTTAAAAAAAAGAAAAAAGAAATTAAGAAAAATTCGATCAAAATTCGATTTAAACAATTTAAAATAAATTTGTTTTTGTTTAAACTCTTGTTTAAACTGTGATATAAATTATGAATCTGTACAAAGTTCTGGACAAACGTTCATCCGTTCGTTGAGTATTTTCATAAAATTAATTATCTACTAACGATCGATCGTTCATTAAAAATGTTTCAATCACAAATGACACAATTCCATCCTATCGGGGATGGAAACTCTAGCATTCTCGAGAATATCTCGAGATAATTCCACTTCACTCGCCGCAATTACTGGTTCGTCAAGTTTCCAAGTTGAACATTGTTTCCTTATTTTAATTAGCGTAGATTCTCGCTCGCGACGTATAACGTTGCAGAATAATTTCTCAACTTGATATACGCCCTAATAGCAATATAATATGTAAAGTGCCAGTTTCGTTTCGAAATTTCTATACCTATGTAACATTGTATCCTATTTAGTGTAATAAGTGTATCCTAATAAGTGTATTTAGATAAATATTTTTTTTCATTAAAAAATTGTCGTTTATCGATTAGTAAAAAATAATTCGGAATATTATATATTCTTTTTTTTTCTTTTTTTTTTTTTTTAAATTCGAAGACGAAGTTATCGAAGAGGGTAGAAAAATACGGTATAAAATATAAACGTGATATAGGTATATATAGATTTTGGTTTGATTGTACGATATTATATACTGTACGATATTTCTTAAACACGACATTGAATCAACTTACACAAAAAGCTTTTTTTTTTTTTTTTTAGAATATTTATGCAAAATTGATTTCGCCACGAGAGAGATTTTTCGACTAATCTTCGGATGGTCCCGGGTTCAATAAGGTATTTCAAACTTCGTGATACAAAAATAGGTTGTAAGAATAGTGATTATCAGTTAGTTAAATTATTATGCAATGTTCAACCACGAGTGTATTGTTGGAACCAGTTAGAGGATAATTGGATATCGAGGTGCATCCTTTGTATTCAACTTTTAATTGATGATTCATTCGTCCGAACCCACGCAAACAATACGCAATACAAAAACCAAGTTGATACACGTTTGAGCGTGAGAAAAAAACTCTCTGTTCATTCGTATTTCAACAATTATTTATTGAAAAATAAAGCACAAGAGTATTACTCCTTTTTGTATACGATATGATATAATCATATCCTATTCGAAGATAGAATTTAAATCGAAAGTTTGAGTTTTGAAGGGAAAATAATTCATCGTTATGTATTCTCATTTCGAAAATCATTAAACCATACGTACCATTCAAATGCACCACGATATTCAACTTTTCATTCGCAACGATCGCAAAATGCACGCGAAAAGCTCGAGCCATCTATCGTCTCGAAGCATCTCTTTTCTTTCTATTTTCTCTTCTTTTCTTTTTTTTTTAGCTTCGATCATCGAAAGTTAATCGCTCGAGACGAGTCTTGGAAACGATTCCTATACGACACAGAATCGAGTCTTTTTTAAATCATTACATTCCACTCGATCACAAAAATATTCTCTCGCGATTGATGATTGTTCGATAAGGTAATCGTTTTAATAATTAAAAAAAGATCAACGGCCGATGATGGTCGGCTCGTCGGCCATCGCGATCTCCTCGGTGGGCGCCTTGTCCCTCTTCCGCTTCCTGGAGAACAGCATGAAGGCGCATCCGGCGAGAAGGTTGCACAGGAACACGATCCACGCGAGGATCAACGAGAAATTGTACTTGAGGATAGCATCCTTTGGGAACGTTGTGTGCACGTGTTTGCTCTCGAACTCGATCGAGGAGAGGAGAACTTGTATCACCACCATGTTGCACGCGGCTGCAACCAGGTTAAACGTTCATCCAAACTCTCTCCCCGGAAAGGAACAATTGGAAAGGAAAAATGTGCTTCAGGATGTTCTCATGTTGGATCTTTGAACTTATTTTTTCAAATAATTAACGAACAATACATAAAAAATTTTAAGTAGTTAAGTAGAACTAACTTTTAATCGAAAAATAATGTGTCTTGGAAACATATTCGATATGTATATATAGTTTTAAATAATTAGAAAAGAGAGAAAGAGAGAGAGAGAAGGGTAGAGTAATTGGGATTAATTACCGCTAATGAAATGTATTCCACCGGCCAATCGCTTGAACATGTATCGTGGGTTGCGGAACGTGTAGATGGAGAAGAAAAAGCCCATCACCATCACGAACAGGCTGATTAACGCGAACGATACCTGTGTCCTCGAATAATCTGAGTGATAAATTCATGGATACGTGGTTAAAAGATTAAAAAAGGGACGCACTTTCCTTTCTTTTCTATAATTAATTACCGATCATTCGATCACACACGGAAGCAAAATTAATCGAAATTTGAAGTTGAAGTTGGTCCCTGCGTAAGATCTTTTCATCTTGTATTTGTCTTTTTTTTGTTTTTCCTTAAAAAAAGATCTTTAAATCCAATTCTGCTATTGGATTTATTATTGGAAGATCATACGAATAATAATTTGAAATTTTGTACGTTTTGTTGTGTAAAAAACGTGAACGGTTCAAAAAGTGGATTCGATCAATTTGGCTTCCAAGCGTCAGTATGGAATGTAAAGTGTCGGGATACATAATAATTCAGTATGTATTAAGTATATTTAAAAAAAAAGAAAAAGAAAAAAAAGAAACGTGGAAATCATCACGAAGAAAAAAAAGATGAAAAAATAAAAAAAAAAGATACTATTTCAAGGTCTGAAAAATTATACTCTTCTTCCTCTTCTTCTTTCTCCGTTCCTTTTTTTCATCCATTCTTTTCTTTCTTCGAGTATCGTTCAACACAACAATTTTTCATATTTCCCCCCTCCCACCCCAAAAAAGAGAAGGAAACAATTTTTCCAATTACGTCCACTTTCGAGATACACGCGTATGCCGTCATCTTCGAAGACAATTCATATCCTGAACAAACCGTTCTCCGTCTATTTTAAGAAAATGATTCTTCCAGAAAGAATTTAAAAAAGAAGAGGAAAAAGAAGAAGGGGAAGAAAAAAAAGAAACGTAAGTAATTTCACTTACTGACTACTGTATTTAATCCCGGATTCAATTTGAACTGTTTCTCGGTCGGGAACATATCCTGGTTCTTGCACTCCTCTAGAGAAAGAAAATAACAGGATATTAGATTAAGAGAAATTTTTTTTTCTTTCTTTTTTTTTTACTGCAGTTTTTATTCGCAAGTTTGATGTATGAATCGGAACCCGTTAAATCCCTCCCGGTTTACCGTAATCACCCTATCAATCTTCATTCCTCTCACACTCTTCCACCATTTACTATTTTCTCATCCTGGTTATCTTATTTCTTTTCTTTTTTTTTTTTCCCATGGAACGCCTCTCCCGTCCGTGTCCCGCGTCACGGTAAGTTATTTTTACGCCTCAGCCTTTGAACGAGGGCTGGAGAGACAATAAGAACGTGATCAATATTTATACCGTATGATATTTAATCCTCCCCGATCATCCGAGGTCGTCAATTTACGATCCTTTTCGAATCCGTGGATCGTCGCATATTTTATCGAAGAATAATTTTTACCTCTCGATTATGAAAAAAAAAAAAAAAGAAAAAAGAAATAAATAAATAATTGCTATGAACTAATTAGAAAATGTATTCATTGAGGAATGATCGAGAATTTTTGCGTAAAAATTTTTGTCTCGAAGAGATTAGATGTCGATAGAAATTAGATATCTTTTATTGAGGAATGATCGAGAATTTTTGCGTAAAAATTTTTATCTCGAAGAGATTATGAAAAGATATTGAAAATTGAAAATCTTTTATTAAGGAATAATATCAAGAATTTTTTTATTATTTTTGTAAATATTTTTGCCTCGAAAAGATTACGATATCGATAGAAATTGAACGTTGTGAGATATGATGAAAAACGAAGTGTATTTTTAATTAAGGAATGACCAAGAATTTTTGCATAAAAATTTTTGCCTCGAAAGGATTACGATATCGATGGAAATTGGATATTGTAAGGTGATTGGATGATTTGAAAAATGAATTGTTCTTTCATCGAGGAATAATTAAAGGATTTTTCTGTAAAAATTTGCGTATCTTAGAAATGTTATCGTAGTGATAAATTGATTAGATATTACGTACGTTTCATTGAAAAATAATTAAATAATTTTTGCGCAAAGTTTACTAAATTTAGGAAGATTGATTAAAGATGAAGGGGAATGATCGGGCAATTTACGATGATATTACAGTTGTCTAATTTGGTGACTGTGACGTACGCATGATGAAACACACGTGTGGAACAGTGAACGTGACGTGTGACAAGTGAGCGTAGGCCCACAGACGCTGACACAAACGTGATTAACTACAAAGAGCGAAACTAGGTTTGTTGCAGCCTTTGAATCTAAATCAAAAATTTTTTAAATCTACCATCATTCAAAAAAAGAAAAAAAAAATAGAACAATTACGAAGAAGAAATAAAAAAAAATCGAATCAAAACGATTGAAAACGATCGAACACAAAAATCACTTTTACTCGATGCGAAAAATCTTTGAAAGAGAAGTCAAAGTAGACGTAGATTTTTTATTTGAAGTTAGTCATCCTGGTGCAACGAAGTAAACGAAGTATAAATTAAGTTACCCAAGAGAGAGGTCTATAAAATCGGGTTTGGTTCATCGAGGTATGGTAAATCTCTTGATGACATAGCGGATGAAACATCCACTACGCTTCTTTAACCGGAGCTACGAAATAAATTAAAGGGTATTTCAACGTGATAAAAATTCGACGTAAAAAAAAAATCCTTAGAAATAACCCTAAATGGCAAAAGGAGAAAGAAACATCGAAGAAATATTTTTATACACGCGATATATTAAAACGTGATATTGCGAAAGATTTGTTTACACGATACGATATTTTATTCCTCCATTAGATTCTATTTAAAGCCCACGAATAGAATAATCATTCCACAATGTGTTCTTCTCAACTAGATATATCATCCATGGATATCATCGAGCCCGCCTTTTTTGAAACGAAGCCATCGCGATCTCCGCTGTCCTCGTGCCACCCCTTCGATTTAATTTAGCGATCAGAGAGATTTTTGCTGAACGTGTTTTTTTTCCTGGAGGACGTTTGAAACGTTACGACTCGTTGCACTTGTCGAGAAATTCGTCCATAATTCCGAATCAAGCGTTCACCAATTATTGGGAAAGCGCGGGAATTATTCGAGTCAATTACAAGCAGATACTTGGCCACCATTGGGAAGAATTTTCATTTTCTTTCGCAACTTCGAAACTCTGCAAATTTAAATTATTTTTACAAAATTCTAACGGATTCTTTCTTCTTTTACGAACGAATAATTAAGAGACAAAAATAAAGCTACCCTCTCGAATCACTTACAATTTACATTTCCATTACTCTGGGGACTTGAAATTTCGAATATTTTGCGGAAGGATGAAAGAAAATTAGTCGAAATATTAGTGAAAAATACGTGAAAATTTGTTTTCTTAGGGAAAACTTACCGAAGGGGATCAACTTGGTGGAGTTTTCAGATTCAGGTGCTATCCCTTGAACACAGCCTCTCCAGAGACCCATATTCTTGTAGATTAATCTTCTTCCTTTGGCGGGGTCACCGATTGGTAAACCGTTCTTATCCGGGGCTTCGATCGTGAACCAATGATCGGTTCCAATGGCGACCGACCATATGCACACCGACAGACCCACGAGGACCGTGCAACCGAGAAGGATTCGCCTCTCGAATATAACCTGCACACGACACACGCAATGAAATTTAAGAACGCGTTCCACTATAAATTATCCTTGGAAAATTAAATTGAAAATTTTCATAATACTCTATAATATGATATCTTTTTAGAGAGAAAAGAGTTTACTTTGATTACTAGTGATAAAATTATTTCTTTTCTTCTCGCTTATAATTTCGTTTCGTACAGAAAATATCCTCTACTTGTTTAAAAAATTAGAGAAAAGAGTTATAATTTTATCGCGATAATTCGAAAAGAGAAAAATTATGTGTGAGAGAGAGAGAGATATATAATAATTGTACCTGGTTGTATAAAGCTTTCATTCGACTCGCCATTTCGTCCAGTTCGCCTTCGAATTCTAGAAATTTCTATTCGGCAGCCTTCTTCCTCTTCCTTTGTCGGATTAAATGTCGAAATTAAAGTTCTGCCATATTGCGTTTTTAAAAGCGCGGGTCAAAGCTCGTTTCAACAGGAACAAATATTTGAGGAAATGTTACTTTTATTACGAGTGCACGACTGTCCAATTAAATTTGTCGTTTCTTCAATTATCGAAGAATATTCTCGATACTTGATATTAAAATTTATTTTTTACATTTATATACGAATCTTAAATTTATTTAATATTTTATAGAGAGCGATATTTTTTCATCTTTCAACGTTTTCCAAAATTTTTCATATTTGTGTTAAATCTTAACAGATTGATCTAATTTATCGTTTTTGGATTTACGATATATTTAGCACGTAGCTAAATCTCGTCAAAACTTTCTTTTACATAATTTATCAAACGTCTGCTTTTTTTACAGGAAATATTCTCGTACGTTTCACGAAGCTGCTTTTTCAAAGATTTCTGTTCTCTTCTTTAATTCTCAAACGTTGTCTTCATTATTTCTTTCGAGCATCCATTTCGACTATTTTTGTCGCTTTCCTCGGTTACGTTCCACTCGGTGGCTTCCATTTCCTTTCTTCTATTTCACGTATCGATTTTATTATTGTCGATCCCCTTGTGATTCTTTTTCGAAAAAATATTCCTTACCAAATTATTTGTGTATTCTCTCTTGTATTTATCTCTTCGCTGTTCACTTCGTGAAAAATACACTTTCTTTGGAAACACCTGTGAACAAGGCAAAATGAAAATTGATGAAAAGTTTGTGAAGGATCGAACAAAATCGATAAGAAAAAATGAAAATGCGCTTTGCCAAGAAATATCGAACGCGTATGTATCTTTTTGCAACTCGTAATGTAAATATTTGGCACGAAATTCAAATTTCCATGTGGATCTTGGCTTTCTTTATCGTGATTAATATTCCATTATTCGTTGCATTAAAATTGGCAATTTTGTTAGATCAACGCAACAAGTATATTGGTATACAAGTGGAATGTATGAAAATTTGAAAAGAAAATTTGAAAGAATATAATAATAATAAATATAAATTTTCTTCTATATTTAATTTTCCATCGAATTCTTCGTAATTTTTTCCTTCTAAGATTATTATAATAATTAATCTATCAATAGAGAATATTCGAAACTTCCAATTCCAATTTAATCGTAAAATTTAAAAGAAAGAAAAATATGGTAAAATTCATTAATATTTTCATTTCAAAAATTAATTGTAATAATTAATTCGAAATATTTTATCTCTTGGCCACACAATATATAATAACAAATTATTAAGTTATTATACAATTAACACACATCCAATAAATTAATTGAAACCAATTTTCCAATGAAATACGAAAGATGAAACACGGAAGAAGTATTCTCTCAGCGGACAAAGAAAGGGAGGACAGCAATTACATAGGATCTAAGAAGTTCTCGTTTTCGAGAATAAGAAAGAGGAAACTGGAAGAAAGAGAAAAATATGGATGGATGCCCTGAAAATAATTTGGCAAGGAACCTTCTGTCGAAATCTTCTATCATTATTTCGTTTTCCGTCTCCTTTTAGAAGGTTAGCTTGTCAATGTCTGAACGAAGAAGCCAAATTAAATAACACGCTATGCCAAGTGTAAGATTTTCTTGTCAAATATCAAATCTCTCGAGATTATTGCAAAGAATAATTTAGAAAACGTGAGATGAGGACAATCACTCTGAACAACGGGTTCATTGTTCAAGCATTATTCGTTTCTTTGTTTCATCGAAATTTTGTCCATCTTTGCAAACTGACTTTTTTTTTTTCTCTCGAATTTTATCGATCACTTTTCCTCTCGTTTTTTACGATAGAATACGTTCGTCGAACGGGATACCAGATTTATGAATTTATATGGAAAATAATATTTTCACGAATATGATTAAAGTTGATTTATTTCTCAAATATCGTAATAAGCGACTATACACTTTGAATCATTTGCATATCATGGAAATTTTCATGCGGAAATTCTGCATAAATGCATAAATGTCCTGCATGTGTATGTAAATCGTGATTCAATGGAATTAACATATGTTCTTTATTAAATCGATGGTTCGAATAATTTTTCAAATTATTAATCATAGAAAAAATTATTATTTGATAATAAACTTTGTATCTTACACATTTACTTTGAAGGGTATTGCACGTGAAAATGGCTACAAGTCGTAATCGAAGAACAATAAGTAGAATAAGTAGAACCTAATGATAAACTTAAAATATACTAATGATAAGATTAAAAGAAAATTTGAAATTCGAATTTAAGGAACAATTATCTGAGAATCGTGATCTCCCAAAATTCTACAAATTTTCTTTTATTCCTTTGATTTATTTGCAAATGCAACGAGGGGAGAACGAATATCGAATAAAAATGAAAATCTTAAAAATTATAATACGAATAGCGATGAAAGTATATGGATGTTGAAAATTTGAATAATTCAGATTTGAGGAACGAAAATAGACGGGTGTTCGGATCTAGAGCCACGTGAACAAAACTTACAGATTATAAAGTAGAATATTTATGTATTTCTTTTTATATTTTTCCAGTTAATCGGTCTATATTCGTGAGAGCGTGGATCGCGCACAGGGAAGAGAACAGAAGAGCGAGAGGTGTATTAACAAAATTTAGAAATTTAGAATCTGAATTTGGCAAGACGTAGAACGGCAGATTACCATTGTACGAATCGAAAACTTATTTTCCTTTGTTTCGTAATCCTAGATGAAATTTCCAACGAAATGATGCGTTGATTAAACTTTTTCCAAACGATTAATTCGTGTTTTGGCATGATTCACGAAGAACGAATAGTCAAAGATTGCATTTAAATTCAGATCATATAAATTTAACGCGTTTAATATATTTATGCACGTATGTAAAAGTAATTGTATAATATCGTTGTACAATGTTGCATAAATGAGAGAGGAGCGTCCGACCTATGATATCCGTTTTCACTTGTTAACTCTCGTTCGTTAAATATCAGCATTGGAATAACGAAGTATTGATAATTATTAATTTAATTATTAATAAATATTATTAAATATTAAAACATACATATCGTTGGTATCCATACGAAAATAAAGGTTTAATTATTATGCTATCGATTAAAATTTTAATTAAGTTTGCTCTTAGTATCTATCTGATAAGCGAAACGTATCTACTTTAAAACGTATCGTAGTAGTTTCGTTAAAAATTAATTAAATACAGAAATACTCTATCTTTGGAGGAAGATTTAATCAACGCGAGGAATATGATGGTTGAATAGTTTTCTAATATCTGAGATTGATGATGGAATAAATCAGAATAAAAATAAATATTTTTATAGAAATTTGAAATGGAGGTATTATTTAATTTGGATTTAGATTTTCTTCTATCGAAGATATATTTTATTATACAAATTAAATGCGATCTTACAAAAAGTATTCATCGTATTTAAATGGGAAATAAAATTTAATCAATTCTAAAATAATTTTTCTAAACAAGTAATTTGCCAATAAATTAATATCATTCTCGAAGGATCAATAGATTTTCATATATTTTAATATCGATATTAGCCACGAAACGATCACACGAATGAGACCGCTATTAACAGGTCAAAACGATCAGACCAAAAGTATCTCAAAGCTTTCGGTACGTCGATGGATATGTTTATCATAGAACAGATGTAGACGAGAATTTACGAGACCCGTGATAAACGATCTTCGTGATCAATCCGTATACATGAATCGCTATACACAATCACGTCATTCCATTTACCAATCGTTTCTCAATTAACCATTTTTATCGAGTTTATCAATTAAATTCAAAATCGATTAAATTCGAACCCAACCGAAAGATATTTCTAAGATCTATTTTTCTAAATTGCAAACAATAAATAAATAAACTCGTATTCTTAATAAATTCTCGTTAAATTTTCCTTCCTACATTTCCCTTCATCTCCCGTATTTCTTATTACAAATTCATCAAACAAGTATTTTACTAAACGTTACTAAAGTTACTCGAAGATGATTATGTTTTTTGCGAAAACAAAAATTGTTCCAATTAAATTAAACTACACGTCTTTTATAAAAATGGCAGATAACTTTATTAGCAAAACCATCACGAGTAATTTTCAATAGCACGGCACGTATTATAGCGAGGATCGGAAGGCATAGAAGGCGAGGAATTATCGGCATTTGGCCTAGTTTTTTTTTTTTTTTTACAAAACACGTCTCCCCCTTCCCCTCTCCCTCTTTTCCCTTCCATCCAGCATTAATGAACGTGGTTTTCACTTCTCTCCCTCCCCCTCCTTTCCCTTCTTTGCACGTAAAAGCATTCCATTTTTTCACGAATATTATCAATAATTCGATTTCCCCGATTTTAGAACGGACATAACCTTATTTCCATCCGGGCCGCGTGGCTTTCTCTCCCCCGTGAAACGAGAGTCTGGTTTTCGTTACAAAATTAGAATCACTGTTTAGTTCATTAATTTTGCAACGGAGCAAAAGATTGTGGCTTGACTGACACCCGCTAGGAAAAGCTAACACAACTAAAAATAAAGACAATAATCTCGTAGCCGCGGATTTTCGTAAATTTTATTTCGTAAATTCGTGTCGAGGATCGAGGTGTATGGTGTATCGATTCGAAGGCGGTTCGATCGAGAATATTATTTAATGAAAATGAAAGATTTGAAAACAAATGGGGGGGAAAATCGGAATCGGAATTTGTTGGCATGAGCGATCACGAATAATACGACACACCTCGCGTTACGTATAAATAGTTGTATAATAGTGCGCAGATTGCAAAATTTTCTATATCCGTATAGAAAAGCGTCTAGAAATTTTACAATATTTCTCTGTTTTATTAAACGAGAAAGAACGAGACACGAAATTGATGCAAACGATTTTTGTCGCTTCGGGAAATAAACTGGTGGCGTTATTTATTTATGGAACACCATGGACGAAGTGGAGCGCATTAATATCTTTCCTATCCTTGCCTTCATTATGTACTTTGCCCTAGTTCAGTGCCTAGTAATATACATAGACTTGCGTATCGAGTAAGTGGTAACAGATACCAGCTTATTTCCAAGTCGATCGTGGATTTGCAATCTTTAGCTGCGACTGAAAGAACAATTTGAACAATCCATCAAATCAAATTGCTAAAAGTATCTTTTTGTAAAAAAAGAAAAAAAAAAATCACGTAAAATTTTCATATAAAAGAATCCCGATAAAAAGAAGAAGTAAGCTGATTTGATAATAAGGAAAAATAATTAATTTAATTTTCATAGGAAAAATAATTAAAATCAGATTTTACTGTATAATGATCATCGAAATTGCTGATCTCTGATCTCTGATCTGATGTACTATTAGATAGAATAAAATATTGTCCTCGTGAACGAGGAGAATCGTTATCATCGTATCTACTTGTTTCATCGTCGTGTTCCATAGTTCAACCCTTTCTTCGTATGGACTAGATATCTCGAGCGATTTTACATGTGCAACGTTCTCGGGCTCGATGTCACGAATGAGTAATATAAGCTCGCACGAGACCTCTCCTAGTCGGACGATTTTAGATTAAAATTCGCTCGCCAGATATTTTTGGGATGCGAAGACGATGCGTTAAACGTGGAATGAGAATTTTACAGATATTTAAATTTTTCTTCATCGAAACATCATATCAACATCCAGGAAAATTTTGAAACGAGTCAACCATAGATCTTCTTCCCTCTGATTCGAA